TATACAATGGAGAAAAGACAGTCTCTTCCATAAGTGCTGCTGGGAAAATTGGACAACTACCTGTAAAAGAATGAAATTAGAACACTCCCTAACACCATAAACAAAAATAAACTCAAAATGGATTAAAGACCTAAATGTAAGGCCGGATACTATAAAACTCTTAGAGGAAAGTATGGGCAGAACACTCTTTGACATAAATCACAGCAAGATCTTTTTTGACCCACCTCCTAGAGTAATGAAAATAAAAACAAAAATAAACAAATGGGACCTAATGAAACTTTAGCTTTTTCCAGCAAAGGAAACCGTAAACAAATTGAAAAGACAACCTCAGAATGGGTGAAAATATTTGCAAACAAAGCAACTGACCAGGGGTTAATCTCCAAAATATACAAGCAGCTCGTGAAGCTCAATATAAAAAAAAACAAACAACCCAATGAAAAAATGGGCAGAAGACCTAAATAGACACTTCTCCAAAGAACACATACAGATGGCCAATGAACACATGAAAAAATGCTCAACATTACTAATTATTAGAGAAATGCAAATCAAAACTACAATGAGGTATCGCCCCACACCAGTCAGAATAGCCATCATCAAAAAATCTAGAAACAATAAATGCTGGAGAGGGTGTGGAGAAAAGGGAATACTCCTACACTGTTGGTGGGAATGTAAATTGGTACAGCCACTATGAGAAGAGTATGGAGGTTCCTTAAAGAACTAAAAATAGAGCTACCATATGACCCAGCAATCCCACTGCTAGGCATATATCAGGAGAAAACTGTAATTTGAAAGGATGCATGCACCCCGATGTTCATTGTGGCACTATTTACAATAGCCGGGACATGGAAGCAACCTAAATGTCCATTGACAGAGGAATGGGTAAAGAAGATGTAGTACATATATACAATGGAATATTACTCAGCCGTAAAAAGGAGTGAAATAGTCTCATTTGCAGAGACATGGACGGACCTAGCAACTGTCATACAGAGTGAAGTAAGTCAGAAAGAGAAAAACAAATATCTTATAATATTGCTTATATGTGGAATCTTGAAAAATGGTAGAGATGAACTTATTGCAAAGCAGAAATAGAGTCACAGATGTATAGAACAAATTTATGTTTACCAAGGGAGGAAGAGGGGGTTGGAATGAATTGGGAGATTGGGATTGACATATATACACTACTATGTATAAAACAGATAACTAATGAGGACCTACTGTATAGCACAGGGAACTCAATGCTCTGTGATGACCTAAATTGGAAGGAAATGGAAAAAAGAGTGGATATATGTATACATATGACTGATTCACTTTGCTGTACTGCAAGAAACTAACAATATTATAAAGCAACTATACTCCAATAAAAATTAAGAAAAAAACCATTTTGGCTCTTTAGGCTTTTAATAATTTTTAGAGTAGGTCATTGAAGATTTTTGCCTCTTTTATAGTATTCCTTAGGAGTAGGCATCGTTTTCCTTTTATGATGGGAATTTAAATAATTTTCTCTGAAGCTACATCTTGCCCCATTTAGAGCACTGTCTTCCTTTGCTGAGCTTTTATAGTAAGGAAATGTAATGCAGACCAGAAAAGTTTTATTGAGAGTCCTGAAGATTAGGCAGGAAATAATACTGACTGGGATTACTAAATAGAAGATTAAAGTGTACCATCTTAAAAATAATGAAATACTTGGTTTTATCTTCTGCCGGAAAATATAGGCATAATGAAAATTAAACGGCTGTTAATACTGAGATAAAATTAGGTGCTTTACTAATAGGCCCTAATTTCACTTACAAAATTCACTTCTATGAAAGGTCAAAGAGTACCCAGCATTTCCAAAGACCCATTTAATTTAATGACTTTCAGAAACACACACTGTGGATAAAGATAATAATGAGGCCCATAAAATTTCATGCTTTAGTGTTTAGGTAATTGCTTGTTAAATTAAGAAGGTATTTTTTTCCAGACATGGGTATACCCCTTTCTTTTTTGGTTAAGAATATAATGAAAGTTTGCATCTAATCTAGCTGAGTAGTATTTTGGCTATCTGACAATTATTCCAATAATAATTGTAGTGGGTTAAACAAATTTATTTATAACCAATTGAAGAGAAGGAAATAGTTGGTAATTATACAGTACTGTTATCAGAAATTACTTTGATTCAAGTTTGCACACGAAAAAATACATGACAAAGATGGCTTATTTTGATTGGTGCATGTAAACAAGAAAATGTTTATATGATACCTTTTGCCAAATTATGATAACAGAATAACTCAATAAATCTATTATTAAAAGCTTAGTAAAAACTATTCAGTTAATAAAAATTATTTTACTTGGAGCATTCAGTTAAAAATAATTTTTTAGGGTACATTATTAAATTACGTTAATACGTTAAGCATGGAGTTTTGGGGACAGTGCTTTTATAGTATGAAAAAATATGAGTATCTTGATATTTTATAATTTAATTATATATTTTGATATGCTGCTTTCCTGAAATGGGGAAGTTAGTCACTCTGCCATCTCATTAAGGAAAAGCATTTAAGTAGTGTGTTCTTTATGATATACGAACCTAAATAGAATGTTTCACTGAATAACTTGCTTCATTGTACTTGAAATAGAATTTATATATTTGGTGTCTGTCTTAATAAAAGTTTTTCTTAAACACAATGATGCTCTACTAATATAATGAGAAAATACTATATAGTTTAAATATTAATAGCTTATATGAATATTTCAAACTTTATTTTTTAGTACAACTTTTATTTTCCTTTTATTAAGCAAATGGGCAGCAGGAGGTCATAATAGGAGAAGCATCACCATGAAATGAAATTAAATTGTTTCACTGAGTAGACTTCATTTGTCCAAACAGAAAGCAAGTCTCTGAAAACCAATTTAATGGTCAGATATAAAGTCCAATACTTCAGTCAATTCCTATGCTTTCTTTCCTGGGATGAGTACAAATAAGACTTTAAGTGTATATTTAAAAAGGGAGTTGATGCAGTGCTGCACATTTGTGGTTCTGCTTAAGAAACTCTGCAATATTATTTTTCTAAGTTTTTTTTTAACCTATTATGAGTTTACATTTCAGATAAGATAAATAAAATATAAGCCCATGAAGTAATTCATCAAGTTGTTGTAGACTCAAAATGGAGTTTTAGTAGACTCAAAATCGATGTTCATAAAGTTTAAATTCTTTTATAAAGATATACAAAAAGATCAGTGTTACTAATAATCATGTATTCTGATATTTTTGATCCCTTAGAGGATATTCACCTACTGGCATGCCCCCTATTTTAGGTAGATAAATGTAGCTGTTTGAGGAATTGAGTATATCTGTTCTACTATACTAAATAGTAACATGGTGATGATCACAGTAGCATTTATTGAATATTTTCTATGTGCATGATAGTATATAAGACATTTTACATACTTTTCTTATAAGTGAATGTGAATTCAAGTGATGTTCTTGTGTTTTCACAACAAAATGCCAACTCAGCCATTTATCTTTTCTAGTCATTCTACTTAAACTCACTCCTCCTTATATTCACTTCTCTACTCATTAGGCACATTTTGGTGGCAGAGGGGTTCTCTCTTTTTTTTGGTCCATCTTCTCTCACACATACACACAGAGTTAAAACCTGGAAAGAATAAACTGTTTGTTTATCTAATAGTTGGAATATTCCACAGATGATTTTTCAAGTCTCAATATTTTAATCAACATTTTCTTGTGCTTTCAAGATTGTTGGCCTGGAAAGGAAGTTGAGGGTTAGATGGTTAGACCATGAAGTACTGTGACACAATGTTTATTTACATGTGGTCAAAACTACAACATTGACAGTAGAATGAAGAACAGTACAGGTCATCCAAAATAAGTGGGAGATGGTAGGGGAGAAAGAAAGAAACTTGGAAGAATGGAAAAGACACTTTCACCATATGCCATGTGTGGCTTGATCTTTCAGCAAGAAGTCTCGCTGATCATAATATGTGCCGTCAGAAGTCTGAAAACCTAAATTCGTACCAGTGCTCTGGCAGTATCCCAGCCACCATTCCTCAATGATTGCTCTGACATAGCTCCTAAAGCAGAAATATATTGCATGCATTTATTTCACATAATCTGAATTTTGAAATATGAGAGGCAGATTTATTCCATTCTGATCTTTTTGAGAGCTGTCAGTACTCAAATTTAGTCCATCCATTTTTCAGAATGTTAGAATCTCAGTGCAGTAGCACTTTGTCAGTTAACTAAGACTGTTAGATAACCACTTTTACATTATAAATTATATTTTACATTATTACATTGAAACTAACTTACATTGTAGAGGTGGGGGAAACATTCCCATTAATTTTTTCACATACGACTTGGGCTGAGAAAGAATACTCTCGCTTGCTTTATGCCAGGGATCTACAGAAGATATATCCAGTTGAATGCTTCTGTATCACAACACTGATATTGAAGACTTTTCTCATTAAGTTACCAATTATTTTAGTAATATGATCTGTAGGTGGTATATATTTTTCACATGCCTTACCAGAATGAAATCTTGGTTTTCTAGAATTTATACGCTTTCTTTTTTACAATTATCAGAACTAAGTAGCCCACTTAACCATATATTCAAGCAAGTTCAGAATTAAATTTTGTAAAGTTTTTTCCTTTATTTGTAATTATTTTGAATTATCCTATTTTATATGTATTTCAATTTTATAAGCAAATTGTCTTTGAAAATAGATGGATTATGTGTTATTGTGGCAGCATACCTTTAATTTTCCTTTATTTAAATGAAACGTGAATAAATGATAGTTTTGGAACTACAGGTTTTGGCCTGTTCATTCCCCACCCCCATATATGTTATATTGGTTGGGATATTTCAATGAGAATTATAGTGGAATCTTTGCTTTTCAATAATCTTTTGAATTGCTTAGTACTGGATTTGAACTGATAAGTAAATAATTTTTTCAGAAAAGAATTAGCAGTGATTTTTAAAGTTGTTATTATTTTTATTTTTCAGCAAGGCTAGAGAAGATCTGCTGAAAACTCAGAAAGAACGTGATTTTCATCGAATGCACCACAAGAGAACAGTCCAGGAGAAAGACAAATTAATTAATGACCTCAAAGGGTAAGCTGCTAGTATTTGTTGGCATATTTATCAAAGAACTATTTAATTTGTGTTAAGCCATTTGGCCATGGAAGAAGGTTCCAGGTAAAGTTATTCATTCAGCATTTATTGAGCATCTACTGTGTGCCATGTGTTTGATACAAAGATGAGCAAGTTTAGGTCCTTGCTGTCAAGGTTCCCAGAGTATTAAGATGTGTAATGGGGGAGGAGTTAAACAGAAATATAGTGAAATATACTGCATTGTTTTTATGCAAGCCAAGAGGTGGTCACCCCAACCAGATTGGAGAGTGAGATGGTTCAGGGACCTATTTCTAAAGAAAATTAATTCTAAAGTATGAGTTAACAGGGTGAGGGAGTGGGGTCAGCGTCCTGTGCAAAGGCACCAAGTCACTGGAGGAACATGACGTGTTCACCAAGTTGTAAGAATGGAGAGCAAAGTGCAGAAGCAGCTTGACAAGGGCAAGGTGGAAGGGGCCACATACTGCATAACCTTGCATTTATCCTAAGACTTTTAGAAATTACTCTAATGATACTCAGATTCACTTCCCTCTGCCCTCCTCGTCTCCCTGACCGCCCCCCCCCACCCACCAAATAAGAAAAGAATTTATAATCTCTAACTAAAATTCTCCTTTGCCTGTTCTAGGGCAGTGCTGCCCAATAGAACTTTCTGTAATGTTATAAATATTTTATATCTGCACTCCCCCATATGATAGCCATTCGTCACATCCTCTACTAAGCACTTTCAGTGTGGCTAGTACAACTGATGAATTAAATTGCTGATTTTATTTAATTTTAATTAATTTAAGTTTAAATTTAAATAGCCACATTTGGCTAGTGGCTACTGTATTGAACAACATAGCTTAGGGGTGGTCAGGATAATTGCTGTCTTTAGTAGTGATTATGGTCATTATGACTATTATGATTTCTTAATTATAGGCTGTCTCGAAAGAATCAATGTACCTTTTAACTTAGCAATATATTAGAAATTAGCGTTTTTCTGATTTTTCTTAATTGAATCTCTATAGAAATCAAAACCAGTTTAATGAAAGAGATTGCATTAACTTGAAAAAAAGGCCTTGAGAACGTTTATTCATTGACTTTAATCAATGCTTTTGGTTTCATATTTTGGTCTAAATTATTTTTTTGATTCATAAGATTGTTCCAAGTCCAGAAAAATTCAGATAAAAGTCTTTGAAATGATTTGTTTTCCTCTTAACAATAACATTAATTGAGAAGTAGTACAATGTAATGGAAAGAGCTTGGATTTTGGAGTCACATAAACATTGGAAGCCTGGCTCCACTACTTACCTTTGTGTGTTCATTGTAATTCTGTTTCTTATCTGTAAAAACTGTCATAATAAAAGTACCTAATATAGTGTCTGGAACATAATAGATAGTAAGTACTTTGCACATACCCTAACATTGAAAGTATGTGCTAAATATATACTATTTCACATAGATTTCCCTTTTGCATTTTTATACAGGTCTCTTTTTAGAACTGTATATTGTATTTTGTTTTAAAAATTTTTATATTTTAATATTTGGGAATTAATTTTATATCTTTTATATTTGGGAATTATTTTACTCTCAGGACAATAAAGAGGCCTGTGACTCTTCTGAAGTCATGTAGAAGTCTATAAAGGTAGCGAAGCTTTTTCTTGTACAAAGATAACTAATTGCTGTGCCTTCATCAGGGTGAGGTACCCATTTGCCCAGAGGAAAAGCCCAAAGGTATTTTAGTAGTTTTGTGTGTGTGTGTGTGTGTGTGTGTGTGTGTGTGTGTGTGCATACATACACATACACATACGTGAGTTTGAATCCCAGTACATTCTTCATGGGAAAGATCTCAGGTTTGAGTCCATTCTCACCCTCTGTGCTGATACAGGCAGGCTTCAGTACTTCAGTTACTTGGGTTGATGACAGTCTCAGAGCACCTTGGTATCCAGCTGTGGCAGCTGAAATATGATTGTTCACTGTTGCTGATGTTGTATTCATGGTAAATTGTTGTTTGAGTTTTTGTTTTAAGTTATTTTTTTGAGACTTCTAGCCTATGTGTAAAATATATCATACTTGTTAAATTTCCTAGAATGTTTAAAGAGAATACTATTATAATTTATTTCATGTAAAAATTCAGCATTTTCAGATTATACTTTTTGTAATCCTTAGGGGCCCCAGTGAAGAAATCCACATTACATTGGAATATAACTACACTTAGTGTATATTCAGATAGCCTTTATTTCCATATTTAATCAGTAAGAATAATGTCTCCATTGAACCATCTGGATAAATCACTAATATATTTTTTCTAAGGACCTAAAACAAAATTTCATTGATGAACTGAGAGTCCCCAAAAAACTAGTCATGAAGCTAATCAATCACCAGTGAAGTTAATCAGTCAGCAGTGAACACCTTATCTTGTAATTGCACCGTTGCATAATAAATCAGCTATAGAGAAGAGGGTTTTTGATTCCAGGATAAGTTACGGTCTGAGTGCTCTGTGTCATATTTTACCCAAATATTTCAGTGATGTGTCTTTTTGTCATAAACCACAAAAAGTTAACCTTAATGTTTTCTCTAAATTGTTCAACTAAGTTGTAATTTGTTGCTTTTACCTGTCAATTTTTCAGAATTTCCTGTTTAACATGAGTGACTTATTATGAATGTACTTATTTTCAGAATTTTTAATACCAACATTTAGAACTTATAAGTGGATGCATTATGAGGTTCTTATGGAATTTATGAAACAGTCACACTCTTTCAGTCTGATTAAACAGAAGATTTCTGTGAATGTTGTTTCCTTGTTATATCTTATTGGTATTTATGTGTTGCTAATTCTTTGCACAGAGGATAATCCAGTCATGTCTCATGCATGAGTAGATGCCAAAATCATCAGTAATGTTTTTACTTCAATTGCCCACAAACTCAGCACACAATGTTTTGTGTATATAACTCTGTACCTGAATATGTGTTTACAAATGTATAAATGTCCCTAGAAGTGTATAGTATATAGCAAAATGTATATATGCTAAGTACATTAAGTAGAATAGGGGATGAAATTATATATACTACTTATATCTTTTATTACTCTCTCTTGCTTTGCTGAGTGTGACTGAATTAATACACACTAAGTATAACATATATAAAATACATATTATTATATATAATATAATATAAATATATATCATAACTTTAATGCTTAGGTTTTATTACTGTCATCAATGAAGTATAATCAAAATTATGTTGAGAAATATGATTTATAAATCAATGGCTTTCATAAATATATTCATGAAAATATAAAATGAGGACTACTGTTTTAATTTTTTAATAAAAACAAATGTAAAATTATTTTGGGAGACTTCTGCTTTGAGTCATATAAGAATAACTGGTATAAAGCTAGCTCTCCAGCTGGTACTGGACTAGCTGTCCACTGTAATGAACTACAAAACTGGACAGAATTTTTGGTGTTGTTTTGTAGAGTAGAACTGGGATGTCTAAGAGGAGGGAAATACACAAAGTGAGCAGCATGATCAGCCCAGATTTCTGTCTGGAGTCACTTTTCAGAAAATAGTATGACAAGGTGGGACCCAAACAGACCACAGTAGTCTTGACGAGCTGACGAGGCAGAGGTCGGAGTTCAGGGCTGCTGAGAGAGCTAGAATTTGCAGGACAGGGTGCACAAAAGGAGGGAGGTACATGAAAAGGTACTTGAGAAATATCTGTAGTGGTTCCTTTTAGCCTTTGACCAGACACTAAGTTGTGGAAGTACATGGTAAGAGAACATGAAGCCTGCAAAGAACAGCTCCTGGGCAACTGTGTGCCAAATGGAGATTCCAGAGATTGCAGATGTAGGAGTTCTGACCAGCTACAATGGAGAAAGCTCACTCAATACTCTGAGCACTCAGTTAAGACCCTTGATAAACCCTGCCATAGGAGCTGAGCTATTCTAGTCTTGGAGAAGGAACTATTTTAGACTTGCCCTATGAAAAGCTTAAAGGTAAACTTCGAAAGGCCTCTGCAGCAGCTTGTGGCACAGCTGAAGTGTTAGCTCTTTCTAGGGCAGGAGGGCCACCTCTGCAAGCCCATAGGGCCTGAGGAGGAGCGCTACAGAAACAACATTGTCAGGGACATCCTGAGAACCAGAGAAAAGGAAGTCATTTCATATTGATGAGAGTCAGTTCATCAGAAAGATATAATATGCATGATTCTAATATAAGACTTGAAAATATATGAAACAAAACCTGATAAAGCAGAAGGGAAAAATAGATATTTCCATAGTTATAATTGGAGATTTTAACATTCCTCTTGTAGCAATTATTAGAAAAATAGGAAAAAATTCTCAAGTTGACAGAATAGGACAAATTAATTGTGCATAATTGATATTTCTTGAATTCTGTCAATAGTTTGGACTTTCCAAGTGCCTATGGAATGCTCACCAAAATAGGTCGTATGCTGAGCCATAAAACAAATCTCTATAAATTTCAAAGAACTGATATCCGTACAAAGTATCTCTGACCTCAATCAAATTAAATTAAAAATCAATGACAAAAAGCTCTGGAAAATTTCCAAATAACTGGAAATTAAGTAACATATTTCTAAATCACCCATGAATCAAAGAAGGAAATGAGAAAATATTTTGAACTGAATGATTTAAAATGTAACATTAAAATTTGTGGGATTCAGCCAAAGCAGTGCATAAAGTGAAATTGATAGCTTATATTAGAAAAGAAGAAAAATTTAAACTAATCTTGTACCTTAGAAGCTCAAAAAAGAATAATTAAATACAAAGAAAGAAAAAGAAGATCAGAAACCAATAAACTAGCAAAGTTATAAACATAAGAAAAATTCAACAAAATCATATATTGGTTGTATAAAAATATAACAAAACTGGCAAAATTGGTAATAAAATTGTCAAACCCTAGATATACTAATTATCACCAAATGTTGGCAAAGAGGTGAAGTAGCCAGGAGTCTCATATATTGTTGTTGGAAGTATAAATTACGACCCAGCAATTCAACTCCTAGGTATGGTTTCTAAGAGAAATGAGGGTACATAACCAAAAATATCTTATATGACTTGTATAAGAATTTTCATAGAAACCTTATTCATAATAGTCCCAAACTGAAAACAACTCAGTTCTTCATCAGCATAATATTGGATAAACACATTGTAGAATATACATACAAAGGAATAGTACTCACAATAAAAAGGAATGAATTACTGATATATACAACAACATGGAAGGATCTAAAAAAAAATTATGCTGAGTGAAATAAGTCAGTTTCTGAAGAGAACATGTTCTATGATTCCAAGTATATGAAGGTCTAGAATCTCCTGAAATGTTAGAAATGCTCTATATTTTGATGACAATGTGGACTACCTGGGCATGCATGAAAACTCAACTGTAATACTTAAGGTCTATATATTTCACTCCATGTAAATCACGCTTCATAAAAATGAAAAAATATTTTGAAAGCATTTTCAAATAAAACAGATTCTTAAAATTTATATCATACGTTGAGATGAATTGAGATATCAAAATATTTTATACTTAATTTTCTTAATATGAGGTTATTCATACTTGTTTTCAAGACCATCCTTAATTTTGATGTGAATGACACCCTTTCTGTTTAATCATCTATTGTCTGTAGCCCTTGTCTTTTTGAAAATTGCTTCTAATTAAAGAAACTGCAATTTTGTTTTCTGTCAATGGATAGCAGCAACTTCTGGGTGCATACTTGAATACAACAAAAGTAAACAGAGAACTAGTTAACCCAAGAGAAATGTGGCTTTCCCACCTCCATCTAGGTTGCAGGGAAGTTGTATGCCAAATAATACTTCTTGCACTTCTTGGCTCTGTTGTGTTGACCTTTATATGGTTAATTCATTTCTTATTCCAATGAAAAAAAATAGAAAAAAGATTTAGGTGTTATATGGAATCACTGATTTAACTCAATTACCCTTTAAGATGCCCTTTATTTTTCATAGGTTGAAGTTACATTACGCATCTTATGAACCAACTATAAGAGTATTATATGAGAAGCACCACGCTTTACTGAAGCAGAAAATGCTGACCTCTTTGGAAAGAGACAGAGCAGTGGGACAGGTAAAGAGACCATCCAAGCTACCTGAAAATGATTTTTAACCATTTAGTTTTTATAACATTATTAGAAATATTGGTTTTGTTTCTGAGTTAAATTTTAAAAGATTTCCCCCAATTGTCATGCTGTAAAAAAGATTAATTTGGAAACATCCAGGAAAAGTATTATATCCATTTTAAAACTACAAAGATTATTATTGAGTTAAAACTATTTAATTAAAATATAACTTTTTAGGAGATTATTAAAATATAGTTACAGAGAAAAACTCAGCCATTAAAACATAACAACATTTAAGCTGGGTTTTAAATGCCAGCTTTGACAGCTATAAACCTGGACCTTACCTAAACACTTTAAACTCAGATTTCTCATACATAAAGTATAACCACAATGACCTATCTTTTAATATTGTTGTGAAACTTAGATGAGATAATGAAGAGAAAGTCCATGCAATTCACCCCCAAATGAATATTTGAAACACCTAGTTACTGACCCAATTTTCAGTCATTTTTGTTGTTGACACCCTTTTTCATTCTTCTTGCAGGGTTTTTGTATAGGCCTAGGCCTGGGGTAGTGGTGAGGAATCTCTAGTATAGAATTCAAGAAAAATAAAACAAAATGTTTCTTGGCCACATTAAAAATATGTAACACTTTATTAGAAAATATAAAACTGCTACTATGCTTAACATTCTTTTATTGTTTTCTGGAGATTTTAATTTTTGGTCAAACTTTCAGAAGCTACAGAAGCTTGCACGATGGTTAAAAAAGTGTGAATGATTTTATTAAGACATACTTTAATCAACTGTATATTGTCTTTTCTTGAGTATAATCTTCAGCTACTACAATGAAAACATCACTTGTCTCCTTGTTACTTTTTTTTTTTTTTTTTGCGGTATGCGGGCCTCTCACTGCTGTGGCCTCTCCTGTTGCGGAGCACAGGCTCCGGACACGCAGGCTCAGCGGCCATGGCTCATGGGCCCAGCCGCTCCGCAGCATGTGGGATCTTCCTGGACCGGGGCACAAACCCGTGTCCCCTGCATCGGCAGGCGGACTCTCAACCACTGCGCCACCAGGGAAGCCCTCCGTGTTTCTTTGTGCTTGAAATTTAATTGTGTATTCTTGAATGTATGAATTGCATTAATGGTAATATTGCATAAAAATAGTTTAATAATAGTTTACATTTTTATGGTCCTGTATTGTCAAACCTTCAGAATTTCATCTCTTTGCTCTTTTTCATCTAACCTGTCCCCACAGCCTCCCGAAAAGAGACAGTTCTACAACCTGGAACACGGTGAGCTAGATTCAGGTTGCTCCTGCTTCTTTTCCTGCCACAAAACAACTTAGACTTTTGGTCCTCATCTTACTCTCCTTTTCCCCCTGTTTTCATGAACATCTCCCTATTACTCTTCTCTCAGGAGGAATCCATCAGTCCCCTGGCCATACATTCCCAAGTGACCACGTATACTTTGGTGTCTCTGACAGACCACTCAGACTAAGTTTCAATATTCAGGGATATCAGGGCCTTCCAGGCATCCATGATGGCAGGTGCCTACACTCCCCTCCAGGTTGTTGATTTCTACATCTGCCATCTATCTATCACTGGACTGGATCTTCCAGGCAATATCAGTGTGATTAGGGCTAAGTTATCTTCCTGGAATGGCCATCAGTTCCCCTATCTCTAACATGAGGTTAGATCAAAGGCCATATTAAGGACATATTTAGGCCATATACAGTCTTTGGGTTTCAGATTGCTCATCACTGGTTTGGTTACAAGAGCTAAGGATTAGGAGTGACAGGAGTCAGTCCCAGCTGTGCTACAAAGTAGCCATGTGAACATTCAGGTAACTTTACATATATGTCTCTTTTCTCATTCATTAAACAAAGATAAAATTACTTGCCTTATGGTTGATATGTTTCTAAAATGAAAACATGTTTAAAAATGAAAATCGTTCTCTCTATGAGGAAGGGTTGAATTTTACACACTACCATTCAGATATGTAAAGAACTGTATCTTCATTATCTACAACTTACTTTGTCTTTGAACCCCTACTCCTGCTGAAGGCAAAATAAAACATAACCTGCTATTAAAGACTATCCAGATCTTTCTGGGTTAAAACAGTCTCTTTGAGTTTAACACAGGGTGTTTGAATGTTATATTAACTGATTGTTTAGCTAAAACATATCTGTCAGTGTTAATTTTCTGTCATCAAATAGCATCCTTTTCTTCTCACTCTTCCCAGATGGCTCCTAGTACAAGAGACCCTTATGTGTCCACTGGCCCGAAGTCTACATGCTATCCTTTCGGCCTTCACTTTCTAGTGTAGTGTGACTGGTTTGGTTATATTCCTGGTGTTTAGGTACATGGTTCTGGGTGGTTCTTTTGAGTGTGAACCTAATATACCTTGCTTATTCCATGGCCTCTGCTACACCTTCTGTGAGATCCTTAACATCTGGACCTCATTGTCCTGACTCTCATTCATTGTCATTTCCTTATCATTTCCTTAAAAACCTTATCTTAATGACCATTTAGCTTACTGTGTTTCTCTTAACATATAGACTTCTCAAATACTTTGCACGAAGAAGGGTTAGTTTTTAGAATTTTTAATGCTATTTAGTTTGTATATAAGAGTGAAAGTATACTGTGAGATGACAAAAATCTAATAAGTATGTGTTTATAAATTCTTTTGATAGATAATAAACAATGTAACTTTTATTTATCTTAAAAAATATTTTATTTATTTATTTAATTTATTTTTGGCTGTGTCAGGTCTTAGTTGCGACACGCAGGATCTTTGTTGCGACACGCAGGATCTTTTTTGCAGCGTGCGGCATCTTTCGTTGTGGCGCACAGGCTCTTCAGTGAGGCACGTGGGCTTCTCTCTGGTTGTGGCGCCTGGGCTGCAGAGTGGGTGGACTCTCTGGTTGCGGCACGCAGGCTTAGTTGCCCCGAGGCATGTGGGATCTTAGTTCCCCAACCGGGGATCAAACCTGAGTCCCATGCATTGGAAGGTGGATTCTTTACCACTGGGCCACCAGGGAAGTCCCCAACTTTTAAATTTATTTAAGTCTTATGGAAACATCTATAATTTAATTAGTTTCAACTTTACAGAATTACTGAAAATGTCCAAACTTCTGAATTACAGCCCCGTGTTTCAAAAAAGATAACATATAATTTATTTGTTAGAATATATATATATATGTATAATATATTACACTTTATTGTTTTTGGATCATGGGGTTCAATTTAGGATAAATTCTAAAAGATACATACATATATATGTATGTATTTCTAGGTCTGTCTGCTGAGAGGGTCTAGAAGTAATGACACTGCAGTAGCAACAAGTATATCCAGTGCCGAATATCAATTTCTAATACTATTCTCCAATAAGAGGAAGTAGTTAGTGCTCCTTGGAGAAGTGGCTGAGTGTAGTCTGGGTAAGGAAAATACAAGATGAGCCCGGGTGAGCATTTGGGGCATCTTGTTGTGCTAGAAATTAGGAAATGTTCATAATGTAAAAAAGAAAACAAGGAAGGAAGGAAGGAAAGAAGGAAGGAAGGAAGGAAGGGAGGGAGGAAGGAAATACCCAATATGATAATGGAGTATGTCAAAGGACAAAGGAACTATTGTGGGCAGCTATAGATGGACCACCAACCAAATTTGGTTTGGATGTTGAGCCTGATGATGTACCATGGTAATGCATGGCATTAACAGGGGAAACAGGGTATACAGGAACTCTCTGTACCATATTTGCAGCTTTTATGTAAATTTTACACTATACTAAATAAGAAATTCGTTAAAAAATTTTATAATCCATTTGGCATCCAAAAATAGATATAAAATTTTCACTTTTTTTTCCCACCCAGGCATTTCATGAGCACTAATCCATAGATTACAAATTATTATCTGCTATTTTTCATTAATAAGGAAATGTTGCTACTCAATGATAGTAGAAAAATGTGTGTATCTGTATATAATTAAATAGATGATATTTTGTGTTGGTATAATCATATAAGGGATGAGATAGCTTTTTAAGTTTGAATTTTTAATTTAAGTCTGTTTTTCAGGAAATATCAGTCAATGGTATGCCACCAAACTAACAAATTAAATAAAACAAGGAGTAAGTTTGTGGGTGGAAAATGAGTTAAGAGTTTTAGGATAACAACAGTCTCTTCATATTTTACTTCCCAAGTAATACTTACCTCATCTTTTATGGACATAAAGATGAATTAGGCTGTTGTGAAGCAATTTCAACAGAGGAGAAAACTCTCAAAGTAGACACCTGAATAATTATCATTAAAAGTGTGCAATGAGTATTGTTGTCTCAGGAAACTATGCTGTGAAATAAATGTTTCAGGCGTTTACCCATAATAGATACTTAATACTTGCCATGGAATTGAATTTAAACTTAATAAAATTATGTTTTCTTTTGTTACAATTAATGTTTAAATTTTTAAAATACATAGGAATTAATCCAAGAGAAATTAATGTTTTCTATATTTTGTAATCAATATTTAAACATTGTATTTTAACCCATTTTTTGAGTTATTTAGTATATAACCTCATATCTTTGGATTTTACTTTTTAGATTTCTGGACTTCAAGAAACACTGAAGCGTATGGAAATAGGGCATAGTTTCCATGCTCCTGAAATCAGAGGTAAAAGTGAAATATAATAAAACTGTAATTTATTATAGGTTGGTGATTTTTCAATCCTATCAGAACTCAAAATGCTGATAGGGTGACTTCTTAACCTTATATTTGAGGCAGCTATTTTTAGGCATTGGAAAACATCACAAGTCACAGAAGGCAAATGATAGAAGGAAAATTTGTAAGTTGAGCTTCACCATCATCATGACTTTTTGTCCGGGAAAATTTCCAAACCAAACTCTATGGCGATGGAGGTCAAGAAGAGCATGGCAGTCCTGTTTGAACTGAAAAGGCAGACTATAGTTCATAAGTTGTTGAAGCATCTAGAATCTGTAGGAAAGGGCATCAGATAAGAGGGTGCTGCAATGAACAGTGGCCTGGTTTGTGAGAGAGGGTACTATGAGTCCTTAGATGATGGCTGGGCTACACATGCAAGACTACCTGAGATTTGCCAGAGAGAAAAGACTCTTTAGGATTAAGAGGGGACCAGTGATCTATATTTCTCTTTTGTGCCAGTACCATACTGTTTTGATTACTGTAGCTTTGTAGTAAAGTCTGAAGTCAGGGAGCCTTAATACTCCAGCTCCATTTTTCTTTCTCAAGATTCCTTTGGCTATTCTAGAGATTGTCATACTGAGTGAAGTAAGTCAGACAGAGAAAGACAAATATCATATTATATCGCTTATATGTGGAATCTAAAAAAAGGGTACAAATGAACTTATCTACAAAACACAAATAGAGTTACAGATGTAGAAAACAAACTTATGGTTACCAGGGAGTATGAGGGGGACGATAAATTTGGAGATTGAGATTGACATATACACACTACTATATATAAAATAACTAATAAGGAATTACTGTGTGACACAGGGAACTCTACTCAGTACTCTGTAATGGCCTATATGGGAAAATAATTCAAATAAGAGTGGATATATGTATATATATAACCGATTCACTTTGCTGTACACCTGAAATTAACACAACATTGTAAATCAACTACAATAAAAATTGAAACCAGTAAAAAACAGAAAAACAAAACAAAACAAAAAGAGGGGACCAGGGATTCTAATTGTCAAGCAGTGATGGGATATATTGGCGTTCTGGCCAGGCCTGGATTGAAAGACCTCTTCAACACCTTGGTGACACCATATTAACATTAACCATACTGTACCCACCCTATAAAACCAAAAAGAAAGCTTACACAGGATTCCTAGGGGAAACAGAGTTTAGAGTTTGAATTTTGCCAAGTTAGAGAACCTTGGGGAATATTTAGGGCTTTCCATGGATCCACTCGAACAGAACATAAAATTAAGCCTGGAATTCAAGGTGATCATCAAAAAATTAAACTGCTTACTAGAACAGAAATCAGTACCTTTCAGAGGAAGATAATTGTCCAGAGTTTAATAATCTACCTTCATACTGCTCAGTGTATAATTAAATTTTTCTAGTTATGTTATAGAAATTGGAAAATGTGATCCACAATCAAGACAAAAACAATAAATGGAAACCTATAGTCAGATGGCCCAGGTGTTGGATTTAGCAGATAAAAATGCTAGAGCAACTATTTTTTAATATGATCAAGGACTTAAAGGAAAATATTACATTATAAATGAAGTGGTAGAGAATCTTGGCAGATAAATGGAAACTCAAAAAAAAAGGAAATAGAAATCTCTTACTGAAAAATACAATAACTAAAATCAAAATTTTATACTTCACAATAGATTGGAGATGGTGGAAGTGTCAGTGAATTTTAAGAGCCATCAATAAAAATCATCTATTCTAAAGAAGAGACAGAAAAAAAATGAAGGAAAATTTGCCTGGTTAACATACAAGTAATTGGAGTCCCAAAGGAAAAAAAATGAGAATGGGGCATAAAAATATTTAAACAAAAGATGACCTAAAATTTCCCAAACTTGATGTAAAGCATATACTCACAGATCCAAAAAAAGCGACTAACTATAAACACAAAGAAATCATGCCTGGATGCATCATACTCAAAATTTATGTGAGAAAATCTTGAAATCAGCAAGAGAGAAAAAACATGTTACCTATAGGGAAACAATAATGCAAATAAAGGCTTATTTCTCATCAGAAATATTGGAGGCTAGAAACAATGAAATGACATGTTTAAAATGTAGAAAAATTTAATTCAGAATTCTATATTCAATAAACATATCTTTCAGAAATTAGAGTGAAATATAAACATTTCAATACAAATGAAGCTGAGAGATTTTGTTGCAAGCCATTCTAAAGTACAGGAAATGCTAAACTATTTTCTTTGGGCCAAAAGAAAAGTAAGCCAGAAGAAACTTAGATCTGCAGAATTGAATACTGTACAGAGATTTAGAAATGTTAAATTCTGGTTAATGTAAACGTTAAGATTTCCTCTTCTTAATTTTCTTAAAAGGAAAGTGACTGATAAAAACTAAAATTATAGCCTTGTAAAATAATGCTCTATAAGGTATGTAAGGTATGTAAAGGATAAGAAAATAATAATTTGGGAGGTAGTGCAAATGTTCTATATCTTGATTTGAAGATATATGCCTACTTATCTTTGTCCAAACTTACCGAACTCTACACTTAAAATGTATGCATTTTATTTTATGTAAATTATACCTCAATAATGTTGACTTAGAAAAGAATGATGGGAAGCTCTAAAATATAGACTGCAAAATGGTGAATTTTTAATAAAAATAACATTCTGGTATTTCCAGATGACTGTTCATTGTGTTCTCTGATTGATTAAGGCTTAAAAGAAATGTGTAGCATTCTCATATTCAAAAACTTTTTCTCAGCCTTGATTCAGTAGTTCCTTTCCTAATATTTTATATTAAAGAAATATCAGTTATGCTCAGTGATGCCTAGAGAGTCTATGCACAGGGATGTTTATTGCACTCATATTTATAGTAACAAAACTATACAAGCAGTCTTAATCTTTAATCACAAGTGAATGTTTCAATATAGTTGATCATACAATACTAGAAAGTCTTTAAAAATCACACATAAAAAATGTTCATATTAAAATATTAATGTTAAGAAATAAAAACATGTAGTATAAGATCATGTCTGTTAAATGTATGAAACTCGAAAATGTTTACATAATTTTATTTGGGTAATGTGATTATTTCTTCATTTTTTCCTTACTGCATTTTTTTCAAAGAATATTTATTTCTGTTTACATCAAAAATTATTTTTTTCATATATATATAACTTTTAAGAAGAATACAATCAGATATAAATATGATATGTGAAACTACAATAATTTCAGGAACTCTAACTCTCAAGATGAATAAAGATTGTGAAAAACAATAAATATAAGATGGCATAAAGGTTGAACTGTGCATTGAATTGATGCTTGCATCAGTTAATCTCTAAATGTTACATTCTACTTATAAGAGCTTATGATTTTATTTATTTATCCTTGACATCTCTATTAAAATTAAATAATGGTTTATAGATAACTCCTTTATGAAATTATCTCCTGGTATTTAATCTAATTTATAAATGAATATATTACATGTTTTTCTAGGCTGACATTTATAAGTTACTTTGAAGATCAAGTTTGTAATTACATTTTTATCTGTGATGTTTTGAAGTGACTTTTGATCAAAAGAAATAAATTCAAGCCCAACATGAAGAAAACAGGTTTTCTTTTTTTTTTTTTAGTTTCATAGTCTCAGTTACCTGAATAAAAGTTATTCCTTAAATTCTGTACTGAATAATTTTGTGCTCCTTATAAACATGCCTTCTAGTTTTAGATAAAGGACTTGCAGTTCCTTTTCCTAAGTTCCTTGTGGCATGCCAGCATTTGACTGTGTGATCTCTGTTATTACTCAGATTGGCTGATCAACTAGAACCTTACTTAGTCAACTTTGAAAAGAACTTGGTTTATTGGTTAACTGGTGGTTCTTCATAAATCCTGCTGTCCTTCACAATTATTTTAATATATTTAACTCTTTCCCTTTTCATTTTCTCATTTTGGCTTAATTTTTAAAGAATTTTATCTGTCTGTCATTTATCTACCTATTTTTCGTTCAGTTTGAACAGAAGTTGGTATGGCAGTAGAAATTCTTCAGATTAAATGTAATTCGCCCTGTAGTTAGGAAACAATGACTTGATTGTCATTTACTCTGAGCTTTGGGAAAAAGACTAATTAATTGTTATTTAATCTGAACTTAAGGAATAAGATAAAACTTAGACTCACTTGGAGTAGTTATCAAAAAATTTTAAATGTATCATATTTTTTGACTATCAAAGTGATGCACTTATTACAGAAAAATTTTAAGTGATAAAATGTTTTAAAAATTATCCATAATTGCTACCACCTAGAAAGAATATTAATATTTTAGTAGTCAAATTTCTTACCTGAAAAGGGTTTATAATTCTACATTTACTCTTGTCTGGTATGTAGAATAATAGAAAAATTCCTAGGAGAAACTATGAAATAGTGAATTATTATCAGCTAGATGTTTGAAGTGATAGTTTTGTTACATTTTTCTGTGTTGTAATGGAAAGCAATATGTATCAAATATTTACAAGAAACTACACAGAAAGCACTTTAGTATTACATATTATGAGAGAAAACTTTTTTTGTGCAAATTATATAAGCTCAGAAAGTTTATCAGTGTGCTGGTTTTTATTATGTTTGCGTTAGCTGATGTTTGATTTCATATGAGGTTGCAATTTGAATACAATGATACCTATGTCCAAAGTAGGTTATAAAACTACATATAATTGTATTTTATGATATCTTGTAATTTATGATAGGAAACTATGAATTCAGGAAGAACTTCTAGAAATTGGAAATGTTTTATGAAGTGAAAAACTGTGAAAGCTGACTTCAGCATCACAAACAGATGTCATATATAGTAGAGCAAAGGTTTTAGTTTAATTAATTGCTTTTTAAATTGGGTATTTTTTGTTGCTCAGAATTTCACTACAAGATGTCAATTTCTTATGACTATATGTAGTATATGGTCTAGTTTAGAAAGATATATTATCATTTCAAATATAACCTCTTTCCCTTTATCTCTGTTACCTTTTTGTGAATTCCAATTAGATGTGTACTTGATCTCATTTTAGCTTCCTAATCTCTTAGATATTTTCTGTTTATCTCCGTGTCATAAACTATGGATAATTTCTTCAGAACATTTTTTTCAGTTAAGTAATTCTTTTTTCAGCTGTGTTTAATCTATAATGGAGTTAAGGACTGGCACAATATAGTTACTTACGTATTTGTTAAATGAATATATTCATGCATATCTGACAGTTAACCAGGGGCCTGAACATGTTCCGTTAACATTGATTGAATGTATGCATACATGAAGAAATGGTTGAAATTTTGCACTGGGAGTACAATAACTATAATTTCTATAAGTGAAAATTTGTTTATTTATTTGATGTTTACTAAGGAATTGTACCTTCCTTAAGATTATGACTGTGCCCAAGTAAAATTTGGGAAACTGCATAGTAGCAGTCAGTACTATAGGCCTTTTCATTAACAAGCATTAGATGATAAGCATGAGGATCCTGTGATGGAGAAATGGACTTTGCCAGGGTGTTACTAAACATTAAGAAGCACTATGTGGAATTTGAAAATTATATGCACTTTTATGAATGTGACAAGGGCCCAATGTTTGAGTCTCTCATTTGTTCTACAAATCTTTGTATAAAGTGATATTTATCTGATAGAGAGTGGGAATCATGTTTATTATTGGTACATTGAGAAATAATTAAGTGTTACTTTTCTTTCAATTACACATGCACTATGCAATGTGTATTCTCATGTTTTGGTTGCAAATGTCGATTTTTTTCCTAAAATATTTTTATAAAGTATAAATTCTTGTAATTTCATTTTGATTGTGGAACAACTACATATCCTTATATATAAACCAAGCCCTTTTTGATTTTTTACTTTCATTTATCCTTACCATTTTGTTTGTTTCTTGCTTTTTGTTTTATTTCTTTCATGAAGTGGTGCTTAGTAATGTTTTGCATGCTATCTGAGGTCTGCTCGTATTCCTAGAATTATCTACCAGAATCCTGGATTTCTCTCCTTACTGCTTTCTCCTTTCTTCCCTGTAGATATTACTATACAAATTCTCCTTATATGTAAAAGGGAACAAAATGTAGTGACCTTCACAGGGTTAATGACAGGATTTCATGAAATAATACGTGTAAATTGTTTAGACCAGTACCTGTTAGATAGTAAAACATCAATGAGGCATAAATGCTAATGATTATTATTTTAAATTATCATTATCAGGCTTTCACTCTTGGCTGTTGAAGAGGAAAATACAATAAAAGAGAATTCGAAGTGAAAATTTTTCTCTAATCTCAATGAGCTGTAGTTGTTGCCTTTTCTCCACATTTTGACTTCCAGATGCTGTGGGGCTCTAACTTGTAGCACCGTAGAGCGAGGACATGCAGTCTGGATACCCTAGTGTTAGAAGTTTTTAAAGTACTTTCATGTAGTACTAATTTATGCAGCATTCGGCTTTTATGTTATTGTGGGGATTATTTTGATGGTTTTCTTCCTTGAAACTGGTACTGAATAGGAAAAATTAGATCAGGAAAGAAACTAAATGTTAGCATATGCTTCCTTACTTTATAACATCAGGATTCTTTGAGAGTCTTGACATTGAAATCATCCACATATTTTTGTGTTCATCATCTTTTCTGTATTATAAATTAATGTTATAAATTAGAACATTTAGTCACTTAATTATGAGTTAATATTGATTATAACCATATTAGTTATTTGAAATCAGCTGGCTGTTTAGAAATACAGGGGGAAATTATGTATACCTGAACATGTTTATGTATATGGAAAGATGTGAAAAAGAAACAGACTTTTCCTGTCACTTTTCTTTTTCCCTCAGATGTTTCCTTTATGTCCAGGAGAGTGTGGGGACCAATGTCACAACTGTAGTGGAATGTTACCCTGTTTTTTCTTTTCTTTTTTCCTCAACATTGTGAAGCACAGAGAATATTTTATTAATACAATATTCATTTAAAAATCTCTTTGTTTATTATACAGTTCCACTTGGGAAATTTTGTCATTGCTTAGCATTATCTCCTTTGACTCCCTTCAACTTTTGTTTATAAACACATGAAATCTCATGATAACAGGAATTTAGATATAATGTTACTGGAGATTGGCTCACATGCTTTTCAACTGCTCGCAATGCTGTTTCACTAACCTTGCAGCAATGCCACCCTGCGTTTTTGGGGAATGAATTTGAGACTTTATTTAAAACATTTTAGTATGATTTTAATATTATTAGTTTAATACTTCAAAAAATACATGTATAATGAATTTGGCTTTCTTATTTTTTTGGTTATAATATTTCTTACAAACAGTATAAACATTAAGAGTAAACTGTATTATCTTATAGTTGTTCCGAATTGTGAAAAGGAAAATGCACCAGAAGGTCCTACTCAGAAAGGTCTTCTTGAAGCCAGAGAACAAAGCAAACATAAAACAAAGATGAAAGTTAATACAAAGGTATGATATTTTTGTTTCCATTAATTCATACTTAACTCTCAGATATTCAGATTCACGGACTCGTATCATTATTTTATTGGAAAAGTAATTTAGAAGTTATGTATTCCAAACCACTTGGTCTATAGATAGAAAATGGAGGTTCTTAAATATTACTAGTAACTAGTTAATTGAGGGACACACATTTATTAGTGGCAGAGACAGCTCAGTGAATCACTCTGCCACTTACTCAAACTTAATCATGGCCATTTCTGCTCACCTGCTCACTCTTCTGCTTAAAATTACCTTTGTCCAAAAGAAATAACTATCAGATCATCCCTTATTTATTTTCTCATACTATAACTTCAAACTTTCATTAGTCTTTTCAAAAAGAAGAATGGAAAGAATTATACCCCATTTAAGAATCTCTTTATATCTGAGCGCCTTTGCTGTGCATCAGGATGAGAGTTAAAATCTTCCGTGATTACAGAAAAATGGTATTAAAAATGTCTGGTCTGGGGCTTCCCTGGTGGCGCAGTGGTTGAGAGTCCATCTGCCGATGCAGGGGACACAGGTTCGTGCCCCGGTCCAGGAAGATCCCACATGCCGTGGAGCGGCTGGGCCCATGAGCCATGGCCGCTGAGCCTGTGCGTCCGGAGCCTGTGCTCCGCAATGAGAGAGGCCACAACAGTGAGAGGCCCGCGTACTGCAAAAAAAATGTCTGGTCAAAGAGATAAAAAATGAAGAAAGAAAATTACACAAAACCTATGAAGGGTTTAGTTTCTTGTCATGAAAACTGCATAAAAGTTTAGCTGAGGTAATGAATGTTTTTATAAATACCTTTGAGTTCTAAAATATCTGACATTTATTTAAAAATGAAAGCATTTACAAATATAACTTTTTAGTGTAGTAATGCTATAAGAACAACAGATTTTTATGAATTCAAATAATCATTTACTTAGCTAATATCTATAACATTTTTCTTCCTCAAAGGTATGAATTGGAATCTAGTATCATATATAATATTTGAATAAAATACAGACTAAATGCTTTTAGGTTATACTAAGGCTTTGATAATCACTTTCTAGTGATATTTAGACTACTATTTTACTGTTCCTCTATCATCAATACTAATTTTTTAGGTTTATGGTATTTGAGGGAAATCCCCTCTTTTAGTCAGCCTGCCTCAGGTTCCCCATGTCTCCAAGGTCCCATCAGGACAGACCCTCTTTTGTCACCATAAAGCTTTCCCACTTCTCCGCCTGCCTGTAATTTGAGTCTCTGCCTAATGCAGTCAGTGGCAGTAGATGACTCCATTGCTGTCACTAAGTAGTGCTTGTTCTTGTTTGGATAATCTTTATTTATCTCCACAGAGGCTAGTAAGTCAGGGAGCAAATAAAAGACTCGCAATAATAAAGAAAATTCAGAGTTAAGGATTCTGGGTGTGATAGTGGTGGTTGTCATGAGAAACATTTTCATCTTCTGACGTGGCATAGGCATTCTTTTTCAGGTAGTAAGTCATACTTAGAAATGACTGTTTCAGGTCAGTAGTTAAATATATTCAGCTCTGTGTCATAATCAAAATTCCAAACTTGCATGAGTTTCTTCTTCATTTAAGAATGTGTGAAGGGTGACTGTGGGCTGTCTGTAAGTGGGTGACAGGATCAGCTGCCAGGGACATTGGAACAGAGCAGGCAGGAAGGCTGGGCAGGCCATAGCCCCAACAGTGGCCAAATAAATAGAGAAATTTTGGAACTTTGGGATTAAAGCATAGTATATTTGACAGAGGCTGCCTTTCCTTTCCCACACCCCACCCTCACATCCTACCATTCTCTCCTATGGTATGGTGCCAGATCTCATGTGTGTCAGGGGCAGGGGTGCTCTAATGTCATTCCAAGCTTTGCTCTTGTCTTCAATCCCAACATGAAAGTGTGTATCTCTCAAGATAGTTTGTCTCCTTTCATTAGCAATCAATTCTTGGGTTTTAGTCTACATATAAAAGTTTTATCGTGTGTCGTCTGTATAAAAGTGAAGAAAAAATAGGGTAGGAGGAATGTTTTATTCACTTTTGCAATTTTAAAATCAGTTATTTAATGAATTTTTCTGACGTTTTGCCTTTTCATTCAGGCAAAGTCAGGAAATCATTTTGGGTTTAAGTCAGATAAAACTAGTTTAGATCGTTTGAACAAAATAACCTTAATACATGGAATTGATTACATAGGCGACAGAAGAGCTAAGATGTCATCTAGGGGACAGGAAGACAACTCAGAGATTGTCAATGGCAGGAGGCACAGTGGGAGAGCATTGTTACCAGCCTCGAGGAACTGGGTCCATCAGGTAGGAGGACTGTGAAGGAGGAGGCTGTCTTGTAGGAGCTGGAGATAAGCGAGGGATGCAGGGCATGGGGGGAGGAACTTCTAACACACAATAACAGGGGAGGGATTAGAAAAAAGCTCATTAATTAATATGTATGTGACAGAAATATTTATAGCTGAATAGTTTATTTCCAGCCATGACATATACTTGATATACTTCTTCCTTCTTTTAGTTCTCATTCAGGGTTTGTGTTTTGCTTAGCCAGTGCTCATTGGAGTTCTTTATGTGGTGAGTGGACCCATATCTTTAATCCTGAAGGGTCTGAGTATTTAGTGGTCCTGCTATCTTGGATTGTTATAGTTTTCCATTGATATTTACTACTTAACATGCATGTACTAAGGGTGTGCCAGATTTTTTTCTGGGTTCCAGAAGGTCAAAAAGTACAAAACAGTCACAAAAATCTCTGAATCACTAGATGTCAGACTTAGTTTTAATCTGATGGTGCCTTCCCTCTGTGCCACAATAGACGCATCTTTCTCTTTTGAACTAAGCCATTGAATAGCAGAGCCTAAGGTTGCTGGCACAGGAGGCAAACTCTTTGCAGGTTGGTTATGAGATGTAATAATTAGAGGGGCTACATCTGTTGCTGTGAACCTTTGGTTTCCGTGACTGTGTGAGAACAACACTGGTGGTGTTTCTAAACTAACACTGCAGCTGATTTTTTAATAAGCTATTCTGCTATTCCATCAGGCCATCTGTTTCTGCGGGATGGCCTATCATTAATTCTGTGGGTGTTAGCCCATAACCATATTTCTTTTACTGTAAAATGCATACTTTGGTCATAAGCATGAATTGTATTTCATGACAATGTATAAGGGAATTTCTAAGTATTTGGATTGTGGTGCACTCAGAGCAGTGAAAGCAAATATCCCATCTGAAATAGTAGTTGCCATTGTAGACCACACCTTACTAATTTTACAGTAATCCACAGTCATTTTGTGAGATCCATCAATTTTCTGCAAAGGCTGAACTGGTAACTAATGAGGATGCGATGGGTATCTATCCTCTATATCTTTCCACTACTTTATTGTGGCACATATTTCTGTAATTCCCACAGGACTGTGATTTGCTTTTAGTTTACTCTTTTGGTAGGTTAATTTCTAGGGCTTCTGCTTGATCCTTCCTACCATAGTAGCACTTACTTCATAAAACAGTGAGCCAATGAGGAGATTTTACTAATTGACTAGTATGTCTATTCCAGGTGTACAGTCAGAAACTGAGGAAGTAACCAGGGAACGAGTCCACAAACCCACTGGGTTTACTGCGAAACAGACTGGAGCCAAAATACCATTTATCATGAGGCTATCATAACCTCCTAGTCTGACTATTGGATGGTGTTTTTATGTTTCCAGTAAAGGGAATGCACTCAAAGTTAATATCTAATTATCTCTGAAAGGTCTGAGGTAAAAGAATTGCCCTTGTAAATGGCTACTGTCCCTTCAGGGAAGACTTGGAAGGTGATTTAGAGTCATGTTTTTGTTTTCCTAAGTGAACCTTGCATGCTATGATGAATACATATTTGTCCAGTGAAAACAGATCAGTAACCCCTCCAAAATGAGAGAGGTTCAAAATAATGTCTGCCACCAGGTGGCAGGCTGGCTTCGCATGGTGAGGTGCCATAGCAAGGGTTCCACGTTGGCTTCTGCTGTTGGCAAGATGGACATTTAAAAGCACTGAGTGGTGGCCAATAAATTTTGCTTAGGGAAAGTCCTTGTTACTGAGCCTGTGCATAGTCTTCATACTTGAAGACTTCATAGCTTATCAGGCCAGAGCAGTAGGGGGTCCTCTTTGGCAGAATTATAATCCAGTGACTGTCCATTGGTAGCAGAGATGGCATATCATGCAAGCCCATCTAGAAACTAGGCTAGATTTTTTTTTTCTTTCTCTGTTACCTGGTCATTGTGAACTCACAAAGCCATAGGTATAGTAGGACATATGGCATTGAAATGAGAGTGGAAATTTGGGATTTTAAGCTGCCAGCTCATGTAATTTACTTGTACCTTTCTGAAGTGCTCAAGCACAGTTTCAATTATAATTATTCCTTTTTAAGATGAACTGGGATTTTTTGCATGTCCAGAATCATGGCTTTGAGGACATACAGCATTCCTAGTTCATGAAAAATAACTCAGGTCGTAAGTCCTTAGACTCTATCAGAGCTCAGGAGCATACTGGGATCTGACTCCTTTTAAAGGAGAACTGATAGGAATAGTGATCAACAGAGATGAGCATGCCTTTTCTCTAGAAGTCTAGAGGTCAGTACTGCAGTTCTGCTGGAGCTGTTTATAGTCTTTCTTACAGCATCCTTATTTTCCACAGATAATTTGAGCACCATTGGATCTGCTGGGCTATAAGACTGAAGGGGCAGGTAGGATGTCTTGTATCATACCCTGGACCTGTTGCAAAACTTTTCTTGGTCCAGACATCATTTAAACTATGTTCTTTGTTCAAGATGGAGGATACAATAAGCAGCAGCTTGCCTTTTGTTTAGAAGCATTAACTCAACATGCTCTAGTCAGAATTTTCTTGGTGTTTATTTCTTCTCTGGCACACATGTGTCTTATTAAGACGTCTAGGGTACTTGCCACTTCTTGCTCACCAGACCCATTTAGGGTGATTTCATTTATATAGTGGAAAGTATAAGATGATCA